CCAAAGTGCTGGGATTACAGGCTTGAGCCACCGCGCCCGGCCTAAAAAATTTTTTTTTTAAAGCATAGGTGAATGTGTAGCATTTTCACCTCTAGGCTAAGGGATATAGAAGGAAAAGAAACTTTCAGTTCCTAGATAGCATCACTTCAATCCTTAGAACTATGTGTCCCTTTCTCATAGATTCTGCACCTTATCTGGACAATTATATAAGCTATAAAGCATAAAGAAAGGAGGAAAATTATGTGCTTTTACTCAGACTCAGAAATACTCCTCAACATCTGTTGGTAATTGAGGAAGGGTTCTTTTCCAGTTGATGACAGGAATGGGGAAACAAGTTGACTTCCTGTCTCTGTAGTGGCATATTTTTACAACATAATTAATATTTTTTCAACAATTTCTAGTCAGATTTGAAGCATAACTTATTGTGATGAAATACTGTAAATTCCCAGATGATGCACATTGACATTTATTTTTCCTTTCTTTCTTCCCCTTATCATTCTTGGGCAGCAATTTATCTTATTGCATTAAAATATTAGAATATGCAAATAAGAAAAAAGAAAAAATGATCATTGGTAATTCCACCAACAAGAGATAATCACTATTTTATGTAGATTCTAGTCTTTCTCCTATGTGTTCACATACAACTGTACTTATTCTCTCTTTTTTTTTTTTTTTTTTTTGACGTAATTAGTGAATATGCAGTTGGTTATCATTAATAGCTGCTTGGTACTGTGGCTCTACCATAATTTACTAATTCCTTGTGTTGCACATTTAAGTTGCATTGTTTTTCAATATCATAAACAACATTACAATGAGGATCTTTATATATGTTTCCTTGCCTGCTTCTCTGATTATCTTCGTGCCGTGAGTTGTTAAACATAGAATTTCTGGATTTACAAGATTTGCACAGATTTTAAATTTTTGATCATATTGCCAGATAAGCAGGAAAAGTTTAAGGCTATGCCAAGTATAGATTAATACACATGGAGAAATCTATCTTTCCTATTGTCATTTGGCCCAGTACTGATGATTCTGTCTCTTTTTCACACTATATGATTTTATTGAGGTAGAGGAAAATATATCAGGTAAATGAAATGAGGGGACTGCAAGCATTCTTTTTCCTTAAAGAACAGTTTTCAGACTGTTTAAGATCTGTTTCTAGTGACATGGTTTATAGACCACAAAATTGGGA